CATGAGGGCTGGAAACCAAAAGAATAAACCAGCAAAGCAAAGGACAAGATGAAGACAGACTGCAGCTCACCGATGTGCTTGCAAAACACGTCACATAAGGACAATGCACAATCAGCATGACAGTTTTTGCTGGTGTTTTATCATGTACATGGAATTTTTTGCATTCAATTCTTGTTAGTCTTTAAACATGGTCATAGAATAAAACTGAACAAACAGTGCGTAATCCTTGTAATGTTCACACAGGGCTTATATTCCTGGAAAACTCAATTACAGTTCAGTCTGGTGTCTTAATTGAATTATATGATTCTGCTATCTTGGATGACATTTTTTTGCAACACTTGCCTATTAATGCTAACTTATCTGGTCATGAAATGATACGATTGACTAACCAGGGGATCAAGTCTGTATTGAGTCTTAATTATCCATCTAGACTTTCTTAATTCCTTTATTTTCTGGATGACCAACATCAGTCACACTGCAGGCAGCACTACAGTATTGAATAACATTCTTCATTGTCCAAGCAATGTACGTAAGCTTTGTGCAATCTCTTTGTTCTATTTCTGTTCTTTAATAACTATTATAATGACATAGCTACAGACTAAAGAGAACTTCTCCTTATTAAGTTCTCAAGTATTCAACCATCTGAGTCATATTCAACAGCAGATGGCGCTAGAAATTGACTGTAGGAATCCAACCATAGACGAATGTTTTTTTGTTTTTTTATATATTACAATCAAGGCTTTAAATAATGTAGATCTGTTTTTTATAAGGTTAGATTTAAGCCCTACTTTGTGCATTTAAATGGAAAGTTAAGGATGTCGAGTACTGTGACCGCAGCTCAATATAGCAGAATTACTGTATTTCATCAATTAAGATTGTATGAAAATCACATCTACAACACTGTGCAAAAGCACAGATTCCCATATATGTTTAGTTATTGTAAAGTATTACCATTACATTGTAGCATATTTTTAAAAATTGATGTGAAACAGTCATTTTAAATACAAATTGTTTCCAATGCATGATTGAAATAGAGTTATTGTAGATGACTTCTATACCAGATTACATTACACATGTTGTCTGTTTGTCTGATTTTGGGTTAATCCTACATGGCCAAAGTCAGATAAATTAGGGCTTTGTGGTGGCCATTCAAGTTCCTAGTACAGCCGTTTCCTCCTTGGTTTCTAAGTATCATTTACTATATTCACAGAGCATTTCAGATTGGTTTTCATTTGAACAATTCAGATTCAATTACATTTTCAGATAACTATTTTTCCAGTTGTCTTCAGAATTATTTACAGTCCTTAAGCCAGTCTGCAGGCAGGACAAATGGGTATTTTGCAGCATCCTGGCAAGTGTCATACTATCTGTTCTATTCTCTCTCTAAGAGCTTTGTGACATGACATGACTTTAATCAATGTGATCTGTGACTTTTTCCTTTCCCTGCGCCTGCTGGCAAAGAGGTAAAGGATAACAAATTGATGCATCGTTCTTCTGTCTTGTCACATGATTGTTTTTTTGTCTCAGCCAAATTGCGATTAAGATCCAGATGGACAGTGCTGAGCCAAGCCAAGTATTTATAATATGAATTTCAACTTATCAGTAGGATATACAGTAATGAAAAGCAACAACAACAATAAGAAATAAGTACATATAAGCTGGCAAATGCTTGTGTTATAGATGATTATTTGTATTTATTTAAAAGCATTTGACAAAAGGTATAGTTATGATTTTGACCCAGAACACAAGCTTCTGGCATGTCATCCCTGTGCTTCAGCAAGCACTAATTGATTGCTCACACAGTCTGCATTTCCTAGAAGAAGACATTTCACATAACTTCCAGTCCACTGTAGAGCGTGTTTCGGACTTCAAGGAGGTGCATGTAAATCACCAGAAAATACACCAGAGTTTGTATCTTCTCCAAATGCCAGGGTAGTATTTCCTTCATTTTTCATCTCAGCCTTCCCTGTCTGGGAGCTTTGTCTTGCTGGTGAGCTATTGTGCGAGAATCCAGTTCACTTGAAGGCTTGAAAAATGAGGCACACAATTCAGAGATGTTTTACAGCCACAAGAGTTTTTTTTGTAAACCTTTAAGTGACAAGAAGCTTGCAAAGGGTATCTGATGTGATGCAAGAGGAGCTAATGTGCTTTGCATTTCCTCCATGTGTGGTCTTTCCAGATGTCACAAGAAACTTTGAAGGCCACAGATGAATGTGACGGATTTTTATAAAACAATGTTTCAAAACAAATTTTATTAACTGCTTGGGGAGCAGCACAATGACATGGAGGTTAGCTCTGCTCCCTGGTTCACTCCTAGTGTGGGATGCTTTCTCTGTAGGGACTGCGTATTTCCCCTTTGTCAGCATGGGCTTTCTCTGAGTACTCTGTTGTCCTTCCACCACCCAGAGACATGCTGGCTAGGTTAATTTGTGTTTCTAAACTACCCTTTGCTGTCCTGCTTTGTAACCTATGCATCTAGGGAGGGTCAGGAAGTTGTGGCCTTTATTAAGAAAAAAGCAGCATTTTGGTAATGGGTGGGTGAACCAGTAAGGAAGGAGCTTAGACAAAACTGTTTACAGTATAACAGGAGAAGCTATCTCTAGTCCCGGAGAGCCTCGATTCAGCAGGTTTTATAAATCACCTTTAAGTGATCAATTTCTAAGCACTTGGAACAATTTCATTTTGATCACATATGCAGATGATTTGTCCAATCAAGTTTAGCGGTCATTCAAAATGAAAATATCAACTCCTTGAACAGCCTTCAGCACCTCAGTTGTCCATTCCTGACTTGACTGAACCAATTAATCAAATAAATTGATCACAACACATGTCTATTTCAGATCTTCCCAGACTGGTTATGTGAAGAAGCCCTGTATGACCTGCTGTATTGTGGCTGTCTAGGACCAGGACTGCCCACTCCAGGTATACTATATAATGTAATACAATAACAATAGAGTGGCTGGCATAGTGGTACAGTGGTCTGCATTACTGCTTTGCTGCACAGGGGACCTTGGATGGGGTGCCATCTGCATTCAGTTCGTACGATCTCCCTGTAATTGAGTAGCTTTTACCATGTGTTCCAGTTTCTTCCCACAGACCAAAAACATACTGGTAGGTTAATTGGCTTCTGGGAAAATTGGCCCTGGTGAGAGTGTGTGCATGTCTGTGTGTCTGCCCAAGGATGGACTGGCCTTGTGCCTGTTGCTTGCTGGGATAGGCTCCAGCTCCCCCGTGACCCTGTATTGGATAAAATGGTTAGAAAATGGATGGATGATGACAATAGGGTCATTAGATGGCGCTGCAGTATTGCAAAAGAGCAAGCAAGACTGATCTTTTGCTGTGCTGTATTGTTTTCTCAGATAAGTAAAAGACAAGCATTAAACCACACTGCAATATTTTTGGCGCCTAACCCTAACCCTTATGATGACCCTATGAAATCCTTGACCTCTCTTTCATAGCAGAATCAGCAGTGACTATGTTTGGAAGAATATTAGTGAAATGGGAATGGGTCCTTATGGAGCTATAAATCTACTTGGTATGTCAGTAAAATAAAAAAATGTGTTGATCTGTTATCATAAAAAAATTATATTAAAGAAAGTAATTGCAAAGGTTACAGAAACGCTATTTAAATTTAAAGGTTAGACCACAGATGTAGTCTCAAAGGAAGTTACTGTATATGAATTGGATAACAAATTGTCTTAGAAATTATGACAATCTAAGAAAAAAAAGATATCTCATGTTGAACACAAAATTGAAAATGATTTGAAATGAGTTATGCAGGACTAGTACAATGCTTCTGCCGTCTATCTTTATAGTGAAAACTGGAGAAAAATGAGGTTTGGAGGATAGTCGGAAAACATTTGTCTTTTTAAAGTATTCTAGACTTTTGGGACATATCTGAAGCACGACCAGATCTGTTATTTTCTGTATATCTCTTGCAATAGTAAGCACAGTACTGATGTCCAGTTTAAATAGGAGGCCATTGTCATTTTAGCTGGAATTATTACTTTAAAATAGCTGTTTTTTAGTTCTTACCATTTGCATTTAAACAGATTTGTGTGCATGACTTTAGGGATAGTGAAGGCTACGTAATCCACGTAACCGTAGCTGGAGAAGGCTTGCTTTTCTGCTTTAGTAGTGTGTTTTCCACCTTGCAGCAGGTGAAAGGAAACTCCTTGCATTCTGCTACCTGAAACAAAGCTGACTGGATTCTCTAGTGGACAATGTGCTGTAGGGGAGAGTACAGACCACAGGATGGAGTAGCTCCTGACAGAACATTGTCTGTCTTTCCAGCAGGTCTACAGAGAGCATAACAGAAGCCTAACAAACTTGTTCTAAAACACAGAAAACTTCACAAATTTGTTTTAAATCATGGTGTAAATTATGGAGCCAAAGGGTATATCTATTGGCCTTTTTGTTTGCTTCTAGAACAGAAATGAATAAACTTGACAATGTCTAGAAACACAACACATGCTGAATGGGTGTAATGGCATTTTTGAAAATAGAACACTGATTATTACTTTAGTGGAATATAGTATATTGCAGACAGTGTTGCAGGCTGAAAGATGCAGCTTATGAACCCTCTGCTATACAGTCCTGCTTGTTAGAAAAGGGAATTTAACTGCTGTAATCACTTAAACAGCCTCCAAAAGGTTGAAGTTGAGATGCAGTTTCTCACACTCTTTGCGCAAGTTCTGATTTCAGTTTCAGACAGCTTTGAGGTTTTCTGTGGATGGCCGAAATATTGGGCAAGCGCGCAAAAGTTCATTGTGCAGAAGAGGAATGCTGTTGGCACCTTTGCTGCCCTCGGGGCAACATTAATGAGACCTTGTAATAAATTAAAAGAAACCATGTGCTTCATGGCTTGCGAGCGCAAACAGGGATACTGTACACAGTCATGTGCCATGTCCAAATTGCAGTGCCTGGTCCTAACAAAAGGAAAAGACCTGGGCTACTTCGATATATATACAAATGTTTATTGTTTTATCATATTACGCTGTTTGACAAAAATAAAATAAGCAACATATACAAATATATAATAACATATCAATTAAAAAAAGGAAAATTGATTTATTACCACAGTTCAAAACACGACAACCGTAACACAAACAGAAAAAGAAAAAAAGCTACAATGCCCTTATATATTTCATATCACGTATAAAAATAAGTCTATCTCCATAAGTACAGTTACAAGAAACATGTAAAACACTTAAATAGTGATATTTTAACATGTTATACATACATACCGCCAAAAAAAAATACATCGATTGCACATTTCTCTATAAAGATCAAGTTCAAGTATGATGCAATCCTTAATGGACTGGCAAGTTTATTTTTAGATTTCCTTTAAAGGGAATCTAAAGAAAAGTCTCTTTCCCCATACAGTGTCCAAATGATTTGCTTTAAATCAAAAGCCTTGTAGCCCTGTCCAGCTCTCTCTCTTTGATGCATGGAGTGGTGATGTTACAAATCATGCTTTCAGCTAAATTTAGGAGACGGAAAGAATTTGAAAAAGTTCTGTCAGAGCAAATACATGCTGGTGTTTCAGTCACCTTCAGCGCTGAACCAATTTCTTTAGTTTTGAAAGGGAAATGTCCTGGTTACCTTTTTTTCTCTCTTTGAAAAATAGTACTGTTTTTCACAAGCGTTTGCAAAGGTCTGTGAGCTGGATGACAGTGAAGGACCTGCTGGCTTGTCTTTTCATTTCCTGGGGACAATCTCCTCTGGAGCTGCTGCCCTGGGGAAGATCAGCAGCACAGCATTGAGTCTGTGTCTTTTGCCACTGAGTGTGAGAATTCATCAGCAATTCTCTAGAAACGTCCTGTATGCCGTTCTCAGTGCCATATAGCTAGGACTCAGTATCATCCTCTTAAGAAGACAAGGGTTTAGATGCCCTGGTCTAAGTCCTTTAAAGATGGATTCAATTTTTTAAATTGTTTTTTTTTTCTGTTATTAACTTGATCACTTAGGTCATCCGAGACGATTCAATGCTACCTTACTCCTTGGAAAGAAAATGTGCCCCGCAATGACTTGGTGGGAGTCTTGGGCATCTGTAGAATCGTGGAATTCATCAGGAAGCTTCAGCGATGGCACCAGGGCCTCCTGCTCACGTTCGTCTGAGGAGATCCTCGAGTTTCTGTACTTGGTTTGTTCTGGTCCCGACCCAGACTGCTTTCAGTTTCCCCCCCAGTCGCTGAAAGGTGACTCTGCTCTCTGGTAGGGATCGTCGCCTCCTTCCATAGCCCGTGGGGCTGATCTTGTGCAAAGGAGCGCTGTGGACTCTTTGCTTATCACCTATCTGGTACAGCCGGTGTGCAAGGTCATTCACTGAGCAGGTACTCAATGAGCAGCCTGTTCTCTTTGACTGACTCACAGAATTCATATACCTCTTCACTCGGATATTGGTATCAGGGCTGGAAAAAAGAAAGACAGAGAGGGAGAGAAAGATTAATCTATATGTCTCATTCACAGATAAATGTATTTGACTCCTGATTGTTTTTCCCCTTCAGCTTGTCCTTATCCACCCTTTGTTTCAACCACATTCTTAATGCCAATGTGACAGGTTTATTAACTGATCAAAACTAGTGCTACATTTGCAATACCAAATAAAGACTCTTACCTGGAATGAGGACTTAAGGTGTCTTTGACATCATCTTGGCTGACAAACTGCATATGGAATGAGTCTGCTTCACTCAGTTTGGACACGGATGAGCTTTTCAAATCCCTTTTCATTCTGTTGAGTGCCCAGATGCTCACCCTGAGAAAAAGTGAGGAGTTTTAGCCACAGAGAAATACAAAGTTCTTCTCTTAGAAGTGAAGTATTTGAAAGGGTTAGGCTCTAAGACAAGTTACTAAAACCTATTTACTGAACAGGTAAAAAACAGAACAATAGCAATAAGCTGGTTACCTTTTTTTCAATTGAGAAGTCAAATTCAGTTTTGCACTCTCCACACTGAAGACACCACTGGCTAGTAAACACCAACAGAAAAAAGCAATCTGAAGAATCAGTTTCATTTTGACTGGAAACCTGTTGAAAATATAAAAAAGCAGATTAGGTATTTGCTATTTAAAGCACAATAACATAAAATAAATAATGCATAGATGCCTTCTGCTACCTCTGCTCTCAATGCTCAGTCCTCCTGCCATCACCATCTATAATTCTATTTACTTTCCACTTGCTTACACAAGAGTCCAAAAGCCAAGAATGTGCAGTTATCATTCATTTATTTTGAGTGCCATGCTGAAGTTACATTTTGCTCAGGAAAATACACATCCGACCATCACCATGGCCTGTGCATTTGAGCATAATAAGGTGTAATTTAATAACTTGGCTTTTGAAAATGTAAAAAAAAAACACTTTTACTTAGAATTGAGTTTTTTTTATCTTAGAACCCCAGCAAAATCTATGCTGCTGGAAATCAGGATAACAAAAGCTGTTTGACATTTCTGCCTGTAGCCCTCAAAACTCCTTCAGAGCAGAGGGTCCTCCTGTTTGATAAGTACTGAACATTTAAGTAAACAAGACAGCTAGACAGATTCTGTGCACTTGTGCCCTGACATTCTCGAGAATTCATGAGCAAATTAAAAAGATTACCTACCTGAAAATTGTGATAATCCACTTGAATAACTCTTTACAAACAGCCTGCAGTCAGAGAGTATCCAAGAAGCTTCAATGTTGCTTACAGTGTTGTGAAGTAGCTCTGTCACACTGCTAATGTTCTGACTCTTCAAGCAAGGACTCAGAGCCTTTATAGCATTAGTGGGTGGGGCTTCCTGACTGACAGTCATTCCCATCAAAATCTTTCCATAAGCAAGCTCATTACTATAATCCCAGTCTTGCCTTTTGTGATATTAATTTTACTTTCATAGTAAAGGGAAATCAAATTTCATATCATGGTAAAACATAACTCCACACAAATATCAGGCTTCAGTCAATAAGAAAAAGATTCAATAGCTGTATTTGTATTCTTACTTCAAATGTGCTTCTTTTGCTTAATTATGTAAAGTAGATTTAAGTACGTTTTTTAAATAAGTGATTTTTACTTTCTAATGTATATTAAAAAATTGTTTAATTAAGTCATAATGTTTATTTTTTAGACTAATGTCTCTTCTTATTGCCTCATTGCTGCTGATATATTGAAAATATAGCTGTGCTATAATCTAAAAAGAAAATGGTTCTTTTAGCCAGTATAATAAGTAAAATAAGAAAGCTATCACAGATCTCATATCACCCAGATTATTACCAGAACATGGGGGGATAAAACACTTTTCAATCCATTGAATTCCATCCACCTCCTCTATATAATCTAAAGAATGTTTCTGTAATACTCTCTATAGGCTATGTCAGTACACTCCAAATTAATGCCAATTGACAGAGAAACAGCTGTTACAACAGTATAATCTATGCTAACCCTACACTCAAACTAAAGAAGAATGCACATCTTCTTCAACATTAAAACACATGTGGAAAACATAGAAATAGTGTTCTGCAGCATACATAATTGTTATTGTACCCTAGGGAAAATATATGTATAATATTCATGTCTAATAGACTCATTGTATTTCTAAATATGTGTAGCAGAATATGTATAACAGCCATGTGTAATTAGATTTATTATATTTCTAAATATATCTAGCAGAGTGCATTACATTGTTCCCTGTGTTTTGAAGCCAGTAAGGGGCATATTAGTACTGACTTTGCCAGGCTAGAAGTGGCATCTCCTTTCAATCATTTGTGCTAGTTTTTTACAAACAGCTTTTTCTTACCTGTGATCCATCTATTCACTTTGCTATCAAATGGAGCAATTATGGTAAATACAGTTTTATTTGAAGATCAGCACCACATAGTCATTAATTATAAACTTAAACATTCAGTAATTAAGACTGAGAATGTTTCCCTGTATAGTAAGTTGAAATTACAGTACTGTATGTCAGAGATCTAGAGATACAGGAGCCATTCAAACCTGAAATGGAATTAAAAATAGAGTTCTCCCGATTGTCTGATTGTATTATTGAAAAAAATGACTATGAAGACAATTTAAAAAAACTGATTATTAAAAAAACAATTAATAAATAGATGTTGTAACAAAACCAAAACATCTGAAAGAAAACAATGTATATGTCATGGAAGGTCATCAGCCAGATGTTTATTAAATGTCCCCTGGGGTCAGTTTTAGCACAAGATGTTATGTGGATTAATGCTGGTACAATTGTGTTTTTTCTGACTAGTTGTGGTTATGGCATTTGCAGTGTCATGGGCATGATATTCTGGAATTGCACATCTGCAAACACATACGTGTCAAAATCTTAACTATTTTCCTGTATTGGAAGATTTATATGTCTGTATTTATAAAGGAAAAGTAAAAAAGCTTGAATGAACAGTTACAACAGATGTAGTCTATGCAAAGGAGTGGCTGTCTCTTTGCTTGAAAGTTCATTTTTAAAGTGCTTAGAATAGCAGAGTTGTGTTAAGATCTTAACATACACAGTCTTTAACATACACAGTATCTCAAATATATTGTTGAAGATGCTTACTAACTTAAATATTCTGCAAAACATTATATATAGTTACAGGATATGACTATGGCTTTGAATCTTACTGTAAATAATCCTTTCCATGGGGCCAAAAGAAGTGATATAAAATAGTACGTACCCCAAAGTTCCTGTAAAATCTGTATGAACTCTTAATCAGGGTGTGCATTTAACCTCATATTTCTAATATTTATTCTTCCAAATTATATAAATGTATCTGTGATGGAAAGGTTCATTGAATGCAAAGTAGGAATTGATTAGAAAATAAATCCACCAAAAACATATTGAATCTAAATATTTCAATCCCAATAAAATGGAAACATCTATAAAACTTAACTCGTCCATCAATTTACTGATGACTGTTACATTAAATAAGTGCCCCCAGCAAAACTGAAATCACTGTGCTCACTTTGTAATTTTCTCCTTATATGGTTCATTTGTTTAGATTGCGCAACAATGCAACTGTCATGCAATTGTTTGAAATTTGTTCCATATATAGTGTTTGCAGCTTTCCAGCGTGTCCTTAAGGCATCACAAACTCAGTCTACATCTGTCATTCAACGTGTTATGCTATGGATTTTGATGAGAAGTTGTTATTTTCGTTTTGTCATGTGTTTGCATGTTACTCAAGCAATATAATGAGCAAGAGTTCAAATAATAACACTAAATGTTTAATTAAATTGATAGCCTGCTGAGCACAAATTCTCATCTACAATAACAACGTGGAGAATAACCGCATACAGTATAAGGGACATATTACTAGGGCAAATAGAGCAAAATTCCCCTCCTCATGGGTGCTACAGCAGAGCTCCACTTAGTGTTGCAACTACAAGTCCAGAACCCCTGAGGATAATATAGTGGAAATTGAGCATTGTCCACACTGAACAATGACGATGATGACACCAATCAGTGTAACATACCAATACAGTGAATCATTTGCTTGTTCGCAGAAGCTGTTTTTGGAATGTGAAATATGTGGTGTAGATTAATACTTCCTTTCCAATCTGAATTTTTTTTCCCTTTATGTTTTCTGCTATCTCTGTAGATAAACATACTATGCTTGGATATTTGAAATAGGAGGGTAAAGCTTTCGGCAATCAGTGGAATCCATTGTCAAATGCACTTGCGGGCGAGGAATGAAGAATCCGAAACATTAAGTGATTAAATCGGGGCAATGAGAAAAATCAAAGCCCTCACTTTCTGTACTGACGCAGATTTGTATGGCAATTCTAGCAGCATAGCATCTAACAGTACATGATCACTTCATCACAGTTGTTCTCTGCATGCTGAAACAATTTGTACCACACACGTTAGCGCTCCTAGGTTACGTCAACGGTTAATAAATAATTGTATTTACTGTATAATGTTCTTTCATGTGCTGATAAACAGACACTACAAAGCACACATTTAATCTTGGTTTCTGGTAATAAAAAAATGGTCAGGTAAATAAATGTATCAAATGCATCATAAGCAAAGGTTACAAACAAGATGAGGTTGCTAATAGCTTATTGATCAAAGGATCTCAGACAGCCATTACGTGAAGAATAAAAATAATGTTACATAGGCATAGTGCATTTGATCTCATAGGATGCCATGGTGCTTCATAGTGTATAGAAGGAGACCCACTTCATCTACCACTGAATGAAATGGATCTCCTTCTATATGTGATGGACCTTTGGATCAGTATCTTGTGCTGAAGTGCAGCACCTGTACTGGGATATGTACTGTACAGCACCCATCATATACTGTACCAGAAGCCCAGTTGAATCAGTTGAATTAAGGAGACCTTTAGGGACACCGGGCTGTGCAGGAACAGAGGGGAATCCAACCATCACCTTGGAGTTCACAATCCTACTCTTCTGAAAAATGGCAAAGGATCCTTGATGGCCAAGTATTAAGGACACCTGTTTAACATCTCTTTCAGAGGATGGTACCTCCAACAGCCTGGTGACAGGGGGTGTACAGTACTTTAACTAAATTTCAGGAGGCTTGTACCAGAATCCTGCAGCTTGAAAAAAAAAACCCATCTACATGTACTGGAATATTAGATGAATCAATTGATTTGAAAAGAAATGGCTCTCAAACGTAGAGTTTCCTTTACGTCACTTGAATAGTGACACAAAGAAATCATGCTTAATAATCCTGACAGGATTGTTGTTGGCTTGATTACAACTGCACTTGTACTCATTTATATTTCAGTAGATTTATCAAAACGCTGAACCTTTATCGGAGTATAAAAGTATTCTATTAAAATAAGAAGTATTCTAAACCTTCTCTTCACAGTCCTGAATTTAATCCTTGCTTTAACTCTTAAATTAATTGTATATTTACACTAAGGTTACTGGACACATAGCAGTGGTTCCTGTGTTAACAAATGACACCATGACCTTCAATATTGGTTGAGATGGAAAGGAGGCAGATCCTTCCTTTTCTGGAGGATCTGTTCTGAACTGAACCAATTAAAACTTCAGCCAGGCCCCAGAGTAGCTGTCTGTATCATCTGAGTAAATAAACTATGAGAAGAATGGCTCTCTGGAGCTCTTTTCCTGGTAAATTCCAGTGTAAACATTTTCAGAGAATGTAAAAGATAACTAAGCACAATCTTCCTAGAAATATCATGACAGACACTTAAAACCAATCATTTTCTTAATTAATTGAAAAGTGATTGAATTATTGAGGTAAGAATGATAAATACACTACATTAGTCTAAATATTTATATTTGCTAAATTCAAAAGACAAATCACCAGAAGACAGAAGCATGCTGAAACCCTTTCTAGCACAATGCTGAAGGAGCAAGAGAAGAATTTCATGATACAACAAAGAAGTGTTTATTCGTTCAGTCACAAGCACTGTAATAGTGCAAGCTAACAGCCCGCTTTTTGACTCTCTAATGTTTAAGAGCTATGCATGATTCAGCCCTTAACAAATTTAAGTCGTTTTAAAGCTATTCAGTTTCTGGCAAAAACAGGAGAAAAAGAGAATCCCACTGCTCCAGTGTTTTTCCACACCACTGTAATGTTTGCTATTTGTGTTTGGCAGAGCCTTCCATGGCCCTTCTGATATAAATGCTGCAGAGTTTAGAAGAGTTTCCTCCTCCAGCATGGCCAGTCTCGTGTGGTTGCATTTTAATAAGTGCAAAGACGTGGCATCCAAAGGCTCACTTTAAGAATTGAATTACTGTTTTACTTGTCCAGCATTTGAACTCGACACCACATAGTGTGAGATGGTGTAATGAGTTATAACAAGCCCAATAAATATGCCAGCACCTATGTCACCTTGCAACTCACAAATGGCAACTCACAAACTCACTGAAGTTAGCGCATGTGAGCCTGGCCAGTATCTGGATGGGAGGCTCCTGGGACAGCTGAGGTTGTGGCTGGAAGAGGTGTCAGTGGGACCAGTAGGGGGAGCTCACCCTGAGGTCTGTGTGGGTTCTAATGCCCCAGTATAGGTGACGGGAACACTATACTGTAAAAACAGCACTGTCCTTTGGATGAGACATAAAACCGAGGTCCTGACTCTGCGTAGTCATTAAAAATCCCAGAGCGTGAAAAGAGCAGGTTGGTAACCCTGGTGCCCTGGTCAAATCCACCTTGACCTTTACCAGTCACGGCTCTGTTCTCCTGCCCACTGAGAGCTGGTGTGTGTTGAGTGTTTACTGGCGAACTATGGCTGTGTCAGATCATCCAGGTGGGGCTGCATAATAGTGGTGGTGGAGGGGAGTGTCCAGAAAAGCTCTATTATTATTATTATTATTATTATTATTATTATTATTATACATCAAGGTGAAATGGCACTGAAACTGCTGCTTAGTTTGCCCAGCATATTATTTTCAGGTCAGTTATCAGCTGTTGATATGTTTATCCTAGTTTCTGGCTTTTTGCTGTTGTTCTTTTTCTATTTTGAAATTGCTTTGGGTTCATATTCTCCCAGTTGAAATCTCAGAAATCGCTCTTCCCACAGATTTGTAAATGTAAAGTTCCAAAAAAAAACAGGAGGTTTTTACAGAGAAATGAAGTGTTTTTGTAGAGTGACATTAAATGAGGGATAATGACAAATCCAGTTTAACAATGCCCTTCCTGTGTCCTGGCATTTTATCAATTAATGTTTTATCTTATTTCCAGACTCGTAGATATTGCTTTTACACTTCTCAAGGAGTCCTTAGTCGACCTCAAACCAGAAAGCCAGTCCGTGTTACTTTTGGAACTTAATATACCAGTAATAAAAGTGGAAAGTCAGCGGATGACAGAGTTTTAGGTATGCTGTTAAAAAAGCTTCAAAACTCAGGTTTTAGCATTTTTACATTTCCTAATCCCAGTTGTGTTCATCAGGAGCTTTGTCATTGTCCGAGCATGTATGAAAGTGCTGTCAGATCTTGCACCGTGCTTGTGCTACTACACGTGTACATTGAAGTGGTAAGAAAATATTATGGTGGCAGAGGATGTTTTTTATTTTGTCAAAATAACCTTATGATTGCTGTGCCAATAAACTTTATTAGGTGTTAATGTCCCAAAGGAAACTTCCCAGCAATAAATCAAGGGCTGATTTAAAGGCCAACAAAAACAGGCTGCCGTCTGCAAGGTGCTGAAGCTGAGGAAGTAAAGGCAGTAGATGACAGGCTTCCCTAAGGCTGATTATTACACATTACACGCTTTACAAGCACCCACAGTGTGCATACAAAATGTTTCACAAATGTTTATTGTGGTATGCTATGGTAAAAGCATGGTAAAACAGTTGTAAAATTGGGGGTACTGCAAATTACAGTAAAGTAAATGCATGCAATGTCCTTGGGTATTGTCACGGATCGTATTTACTGTGGCTAACCCCTTTAACAAAAAATTAGATTGTGATATGAGATATTTACTCTGTAAATGACAATATGAACTGTACAATTTAAAGTATTTTTATATCACGGCAACTGAAGAAGAACATCTGTAGGCAACCGTTAAAAAAATGTGGAACCTGTAAGTATTTAAGTACAAAGGGTTTATTGTTGTTAGTTACCTAGAGACGTGTCATTGACGACCAGCAAAGGTTTTTCTTAACGATATTAAAATAAACTGACACGGGCTCCTAAACATTAAAAACATGTGTGAAAACCCAACTCTCTTTTGTGCCAAAGCCATGGGATATTTGGCCACAAAATAACTAAAAATAAAATCATAATTTTATGGTCCTGTCAGAATGTTCTACGTTGCATCATTAACGCAGGAGAACTGGAAAACAACGATTTGCTTTAAGTTAAAGCACGCATATGGCACCAACATGGTCCACATACACCTGCTTTTTAAGACGCCGCTTGCTTTAGCATTTAACTTGTACTAAACAACATGCAGCTGCTAATGACTTGCTAAATAATTGAAGTCATCCTTTCACTAAAGAAATGTTATTTTGCTCGCCAAAACATTTCCATGTCCTGTCAATGCCCCAACGACACCACATTTTTACGGCAGCCTTCAATTTAAACCAAAGTACTTTTAAAAAAAGATTTTAAGGTTGGCCAGCGCAGATATTCCAGAAAAGGAAGCAATTAGTCTTGCCTACTGTAATTACATCTTGCGTTTCCAGCAGGAAATGTTGTTTTAACAAATCAATGCACAGCTAAAAACTACCCTAGTATTCTTAACGTTTGCGCTTATTTACAAAATGTGACTGTGATCGCTAAGTGTTTTTTACATTTGTGGAGGACGGCGGGTTGCATTTCCTTTTTCTGCAGAGCCTGTGATTATACAGCACGAATTTGTGTTTGTAAACCCAGACGGCCCACGCCCATACAGGATCACTTACAGCACACGCAGGCGCACTGCCCTTACTTGTGTCAAACATGGCTGTGCTTTTGGAGAAAGAAAAATGCTGAATTGTCTTGGTAGAGGTCGTAAATCGAACCAAACATGGCGAGGCTGGTTGATTATTTCATTGTCGTGGGATACGATCATGAAAAGACTGGTGAGTTTTCGAAAAACGCAATTCTTTACGTCCTGGAAACACCGGACTGCTCTTGCGAAGGGGGGATTCCTCAGGCCGTGCAAGTCAGTGGGTTAATAGGATACTGTGGTATCCAGATTGGATGCTTTGGCACTACGTTACAGTGTATTGTGTTTTGTTTTTAAGAGGGGTTTGTTTGTTATTGCTCAGTGCTGTAAAATGTAACTGTACACCGCAGGCAGGAGGAAGAAAAAATTGTAAATATAGTTTTTTTTTCTCTTCTTTTTAAGTAAATGAAACTTTACTGGAACAATTCAGCCTGTCACATCCTGAATGAGTAATGAATGACGTGCAGAGATTATGTTTAACAACGCTTGGAATTGACCATAGTAAGACAATAGTGTCTGTGCTTACTAAAGCCCATTCTTGGTAAAACAAGTAATGTACGAAATGGAATTTCAGTCCTTACGTTTTCTAAATACAGTTACTTGTATGCCCACCTACTGATTCGAGGATCTAGGACTGGTATAGCGATAACAAAATAAAAAAAAATGATCCTCTATAATTTGAGCAAGGTACTGTATATAGCTAAATTGACATATATTTAGTCGTGAATTGGGTGCATTTTTTTAATTTTGAATGTCTTTCTTTGTGATTCATTTTAAATGCTTTGCTCAGCATTGTATTTGCAACCATCATTGCCTACTGCATCTTGCGGATCATTTAAAATGATCTTCACGGCCCAATAGGTTTTAGTTGACTGAACTGGGCATGTTGGCATCGTGTAAATACATAGATTAAAATATCGTTGGCGTTTTGGTAGAGGATCGTTCTATAATTTTGGAAACGTTTCCTGTTTTGTGCAAGGTAGCCACTCTTTTCTGTGAACAAAGACGAAAACAGGTACAGTATGGAGGAAAAAAAACAGGTAGCAAGGCCACAGGTGTTTCCAGTGTCATTAGCTAACGGTTTCTGGATTGCTGATTAGATCAAGCATGATTTACCTACAAAACAATAATAAACCACACACAGGCTTTCACACATTCACTGAAAAGCAGAATCCGGAGAAGCGTGCACCCCAAATCTTATGTGCTCTGGCGTTTTAATGTAATCGTCTTAAAGAGCATGATCTTATAATCATGGACACGCATGACACTTGCTTGCAGAAGTCATCTGTCGGTGTTAATGGGTTGTGGCGATGGAGATGCATGACAGAACCTTTGTAAACTTAACTGTCGGGATTCCCTAGGATAGTTAATGTGAAGCACCGGTGCCCGCGGGGAGTTTAGGATAGGAATTGCTGAGGTCAGATTGGAGCAAATTCAATTGTCACGGTTTTTTTGCTGTTAGTTTTAAAGTCTGCCCTGAGTGGTTTGCCCCTGGTTTGACTGATGAATCAGTTTTGCGTCGTGTCCAAGCTCTCTTTAATTTTACAATCTAAACACACCGTTAAGAGTTTGACATAAAATACTGTAACACGAACTGTTAGGGAATTAAATCATCGGTGATTAAAAAGCACTGCCTGTTGTTTGGGGGGGGGGGGGTTATTATGATATTAGATTTTTTTTCTTTTGTAAACAAGAACAGCAACATTGAAGCAATGCATTTTTATTAACACATCGCCGTGTCAATTTCTTAAGAGGTTGTATTTGTGTGTGATCTAAATCCCAATAGTTCTGTTAACTACCATGCAGGCATAATATACAATATCTGGCATTCCTTGTCTACGTACTGTACGTTTGACATTTTTTCTTTATCTGGTTTTAAGTGAATTTGACAGGATGTGGTAGAACTCTTGAGGTTTCAGCGTAACAGTCAGAAGTAGCTGTGGGTGTTATATAATCTTTTTGTGGTTTTAAATGTGTCACATTTTTTTAGATAACCTTAATATTCATATAGGAAACAAACACCTGTACTTTTATGCTATTGTTGCTGAACGTTAAGAAACCTCCAGTTTATAAAACTGTTTTGATGATTTACATGGCACCATTTAAAACTAGAAGGCAAACCTAAGCACAGCACACCTAATCTAGACATAAAAATAGCTGTATCTGCAGCTCTGCAGATGCAGTTAAGCATTTATAGTAATTCCATTTGCCTATAGCCAAATGCCCCTGCTGGAACTACAGGAATCTGTCCTAAGATGCAGAAGAATTGTAAAAGAAGGAATCCAAGTAAAGGAGTTTTTTTGATTAACCGGAATCAGCAAGTTGAAATTCCAAAGTGAGATTATAGCAAATTAAAACCCCTCAGTGTCACATAAAAATTAAACCCATTTCACTTTTGGATTAAATCTTAGTTCTTCTGTGTGAAGTGCTTTCGGATCGTTTGGGATCAAAAGCACTTTACAAATGCAAGGAATCAAGGAATTATTATTATTATTATTATTATTATTATTATTATAGTCCACAGGTATTTTTTCAATAATATTTAAATAATATGGTGGTGTGTTACGTGTGAAAAAAAGTGGGAATTTAAAGGTTAATTGTTCTTTCCAAGTGTGTTTGTTTAATCTCAGTGTTTCTTAGTGCCCCCTTCCTCAGTCTTTCTTTCATGCTCAACAGAAGCCATGCAGAATAAAAACCCTCATCAGTTATTCTTTGTTGAACCATTACAACCATAATCAGAAATGACCGGGTACATCTGAACAAAATGGTCATTGTTACTGGATTACAGTAATCCATTTCAAAGTTTGAATACTGTACATGGGTCAAGTGGATTTAGGAACAAGTCTTGTTCTTGTCACTGATAGCTAAAGTACTGCAATAAAAAGAGCAGTTTGGTTTTTGGTTGTTCCTTGTGGCACATCAAACAGCCTTTTGCCTTGGAGGATGTTTTTTTCTCCCTCCCTCGGAAAGAGGAAACAAGTACTTAACTGAGAAAATGAAAGCTGAAAGCACAAAGTAAATGCAACAGGAAGGTGCTTATAGCAGAATGGAGGGAATTCAGTCAGCTCTTTTAATGCACACGATTCAGTGTACAAGTTCCACATATTTCACAAATACACTTCACAATATCCTGTGCCTTGCAAATTAAATTGTCCAATTTTGTTTCCCAGTTATCATTTACATTTTACTACTTCTACTTACTTCTTTTAATTCAGAGTATGTCTTTAAAAAATTGCTATGCCTTTTTAAAATTAATTTTATGGTAGTTGCAATGACAGATATCATGAACTTTTCTTTCAGAACTGAACATTTTTCCTTAATAGTTATTTGAAATACAACAGCTCCTACAAATATGAAAAAGAGGTCTTAATAAATCTCTTTCTCTCCCCAGCCTTTGCAGAATGATCATTTTTTGGAGTTGTGCTTTATTGCTTTTAGAGTGCTTTGAACTGCATACAGAACACGACTGCTTTCCTCTTAGAATATTGCTCTGTGGTTCACGGTAAAGTTGTTGTATAGAACATGCTTTTGAATTTATTTATTTTTGTACTTCGAATGCTTACTAGAGCCAAGAAGCGTGCTTCCTGCCTCATGCCTGCAAAAATGTCCATGTTCCTGCCCAGAGCTGGCTAAGTATAGAGTATAAGAATTGACATGCCTGTCAAGCAGTTTGGGGTTTTGATAGTCATTGAAGACATCTACTGTATGTAAACTCAATCTCAACACTAGTTCTGTTCTTAGAGGAGAATTGCCCTGGTGCCTTGTTTCACTTGGGCAGTTGAGAAGCTTGCTTTGTCATCTGCACGCAATAAGGATTGAAGCCTGGTGATATCAGCTCAGCTCAGTGCTCAACCTACCTGTGTCATACAGTCCCCATATGAGAGCTAGTACTGTATGAGGGTACTGTAGGTCTCTCCGCTGTGAATAGTCAGTGTAAGCATCCTCAGGTGATTGCATCTGGGAATATATAGCACTGACAAAGTCCTATAACTTTTTTTTATCTGTTTGCCTGCTTATGAATTAAAGTGACTATTTATTTCAGTCTCTTGCTGATATGAATTAACACATTTAAATAGCAGAGTTACAGGTGGTCGTTGGTTTTGTGTCTGGTATAGTAGTTAGAGGGCTCTGTAGGCATTCATCATTTTTCCTGCATAATATACCAGTTTATACAACAATTAATCCGATTCATTGACAGAACTGCTGTAACCTGAAAAGGTGTCAGTTGGGGAGACATACTTGGTTATGGAAAAGATTGGGTCACTACATCTGTGTTCTACTGGTATTGTATTTCTAACTGGTTATAAATGTTTTCTGTGTGCTTGGTGAAGTGTTGGCTTTTAAAAAAAAACATTTTTAACAGATGTCGTACCACTGAAATTAAGAAACATGATCAGGGAAATATTTCCCTGTCGCAGATGCCCCAAACCATAATGCTTCTGAAATGGGGATGTTTGACTCTGGTGTCCTTCCTCTTTCTGTGTCCCTGCAAACCAGTGCTAAAAAGCGCTATTTTTATTTACACAAATGCCTTTAATAAGCATATTCATTCATACAGATGCAGGAAATTGTTCAAGAAGAAAAGGAAACTTCTTCTCTCACCTTTTAAATGAGCTTTCCCTGTGCTACATTATGACATCATCTTCTGACAGGGACAGAAATAATTGAAAACAGAAATGATAACAAATTTCTGAAGCTGCCAAACAGGTGGTGTTTGTGAGAAGCTACATGATTTGTGCTCAATACGTTGGAAGAGCACCATGCTGAGTAGGTAAGCTGTGACCATGCTCTTTTTTTGTGAATGTTGATTGACTAATGTGGAAGGACAAAATGTTCCTGGCATTGTACAAAGCTCCATGGATTCAGGCAGTTTCTTCAGGAATATAGCTTCTGGAAGTTGTAGTACTACTAAATCTAATAAATGGGCTCAGTTAATTACAGCTGATCCAGAGAAAATTATGCAGAATAGGGTGAAATAAACTTTCTGTCCCACTGTGCTCAGTCAGTTGACCCTCCATCCTGAGACAGCTGTAGGAGAATAGGAGTTATCGTTTGGGATTTATTTTTTGCCTATTTTGTACTCTACCATTGGGCTGTCCTTGATGTGTTAAAATCATTTCGGTTTTGGAGGGT